TTGTAGTAACTATTAGTCATATTTGTGTAAATCCATTTTATTTTAGTAATATTTTAGAGAGAGAAAACCTCACTGAAATGTAAGGTCGAAATTAAATAATGTGAAACACAGTAAAGATGGATGGCAAATGTGCAAACGTTTTTTTTTACCTCGGAAGGCAAACCACCAAAATCAGTGGGGTAGATATCGGGAAACAACTACCCGATTTTATTAACTCAAAGCGATTTACACATGGAGGATAAAAGACATACCACAACAACAAGAGAAGCTACAAATAGGCAACAATAAAAAATATAGGGTAAATCTGAAGCATCTAAAATAATAGACCCCCTCAACTGCTTTGGAATAACATTTCCTACTTGTCAATTGAAAACCCCAGCCCAGCCCAGGTTTGCCACCAGGGACGCCGACTGATTTACATGGGCAGGGTTAATCTGCAGCCCAAAATCGCGGCCCAATCCTCCCCTTCTAGAAAAATCCGCCTCTGACATCACATTAGGCAGCTGAAGTGCCACCGCCCAATTCATCGCCTTATCCAACACTTCCCCTTCCAGATCTCCAGAACCGCTCAACGGAAAACCCGCAGCGGCCACCATCTTTCCAGCGTGGTCTTGAAGCAAGAAGCCAACAGCCGACCTACCATTTCCCCGATGTATAGCCACATTCAACTTCATTGCACCTTCCCTTGGCTTCCTCCAGGTACCAGTTTGAGGCTTCTTCCTCCCAAACGTACTAGGTAAGAAACCTAATCTTTTTAATCTTTCATTTCCTTGAAACTTTGAGCTTGAGTAGCACCATTCTAACATGTATTTTCGGATTTGCTGAATCAAACTCCCCTCCCGTTGTTCCGAGTCACTGTTGACCACATCCCGATAGGCTTTCCATATGTGCCAAACTATTACTCCTGGTAAGACCATCTGAAACACCGCATTCATGGATTTTCCTTTTGTACTAATCCACCATCTCATAATCTCCAATTTAATGGTTGTTGTTATTTGACCAGTTGATATAAAGGAAGGTGCAAAGAAATTCCACACTGGTCGAGCCACCCTGCATGATAAGAGAACATGGTCCTGGCTGACCCCTGATATTTTGCAAAAAGGGCACATAGTTGGGTAAACGGTTGAGAAAGCTTCTAGCTGCTCAGGGAAAGGGAGGCAATTATTCCACAGTCTCCAGATGAAAACCCTAATCTTTGGCACCTGTTTAGAGTGCCAAATTTGAGAAATGGAAAGGGTCCTTCCTCTTTGAGGCCAGAGGGTTTCATAAGCTGTTTTTGATGTAAATTTTCCATCCATTGTATATCTCCAGAAAATAGAATTAGGACCCCTAGTCACCATTTGCTGAGCCTCCTTATGAATGAGGCTTGTCCTTCTCCAAGTTGGAGAATCCGTGGGCTTAACCTCCCCCAAACTCCTTCCACCATACCTGCTTTGCATCAAAGCAGTCCAAATGGATTTCCTTTTCTGAAATTCCCACCATAATTTAATGGTGGAGACCTTTTGAATGTCATTTAAGGACCTAAAACCCAGACCCCCATTCTGAATTGGTTTGCACAATTTGCTAAACCTGGCCCAATGATGCTTGGGTTTGTTATCTTTAAACCTCCAGAAAAAGTTAGCAATCCTCCTCTTAATGATAGTGATTACAGCACTAGGAATAGAGGTAGTTGCTAACACATGAATAGGTATAGAATTTAGGACATGCTTTATTAACACTAATATGTCCCTTGTGATAACAACTTACTGCCCCAACTAGTTAATTTAGCATCAACTGTTTCAAGAATGTCCTCGCAGTGGCTCAACCTTGTACTTCCCTTGTGCAACCTGACCCCTAAATATTGAAAGGGGAGTTTTGTAGACTTCATATCAAGTTCATTCTCAATGTGAGATATCCTCCCAGCCTGAGTATGCTTCCCAATCACAAAACTGCTCTTGGAATAGTTCACCAGTTGACCAGTAGCCTTCTGATAAGATTCCAAGAAGTTTTTGAAATTTTTGATAGACCTAACCGAGGCATTTAGGAATATCATTAAATCATCTGTGAAAACCAGGTGAGAAACCTGAAGGCCCCTTCCAATATTAAACCATATTTGAGCCTCTAACCTTCCTATCCAATCCATGAAGCAATTCAAAAGCAACCAAAACCTGATTTTAATCTCTCTTCCTTTCATAAATCTTTACTGCTCCATAGAGATTAAAGTAGGGAGAACTTTAGAGAGCCTAGAGGCTAAGATACGAGTGTTAATCTTGATTATAATTAAGGTAGAAGGACAAATAGACCTAAAATTCCCAAAAATTGTAGGATTCTTCTTCTTAGGGATCAAAACCATATTAACACTACCAACGCTTTTAGGAATTGGAAACCCTAGGAAAAATTCATGAACTGTCAACAACAGATCACTCTTAATGATCTCCTAACATTCCCTATAAAACTTCCCCCCAAATCCATCCGGGCCTGGAGACGCTTCTTGCCGAAATAGGACTGTCATTTTTTTAGAAGGGAAAGTTCCCGAAATATGACTAAAAAGTTTCAAAATTCCAAAATAGGACTGTCATTTTTTTATTCTCAAAATAGGACTAATTACTGTCATGTTTAGAAAATACTGACATGTTTGAAGTCTGGTACTGCCAAAACATGGCAGTAATTAGTCCTATTTTGGGAATAAAAATATGGCAGTCCTATTTTGGAATTTTCTAACTGTTTTAGTCCTATTTCGAGTAATATCTCTTTTTAGAAACGGCTCAGACTCGGTGAGAGTTTACGTGCTTGATAGTTTCTTAACTTCTTTTAGTCATGCGGAATACTATCGATTATGTAATTCTCATAAATTAACTTGAGTTTCGCTTCCTGTTACACGCCGGTCAAATTGTTTGTACACAGACAATTTGACCGACGTTTTATGAAGAAAATTGATTTCCACACAGACAAAGTTAAAACGTTATCTGTATCACATACATTTTAGTCGAGAATTTTTCATAAAATATTTGTGATACACACAATTTCGAATGAGAATTTTAAAATGTCTCTGATACAGACAATTTTTTGATTTTTGTCTGTGTGAAAATCGATTTTCTTCATAAAATGCCGGTCTATTGTTTGTGTACAGACAATTGGACTTGCGTGTAACCCGATGTGTAAAAAGTGACGTGTACAAAGGAAATTCTCCAATTAACTTTACCGTAAATTCTTGGAAGTCATATTTAACTGTAAAATGTTGGGTTTTTTCATTTTGTTGTGCGGGCATTTGGACACATCCTACAATATGATTCTCCTTAGTATAGTTAAAAGAAGTTCCTCAAAATGTGAGTTAAAGATGATCAAAATTCAAAAGTAAAGCAGGACTAAGCATGATATTTGTAAAATACTTTAGTCATATTGAACAATAAAAAATTAAATATTTATCAAATAAGAGCAAATGAGTCCCTATATTGCATGGAAATGTTTCTCACGCGCAGGTAAATCAAGAACCATATTGTTTAATCTCTTAATTCAAAATTAATTGTTTCGGGAGATTCCAAAGATTTTTTTAGAATCTCCTGAACAGAAATTTACTTTTTATCGACAGCTTTCGTGCCTAATGGAAACGTTTTTAAAATCTGAGTAAACAGATTTTGAATTCAAAAAATAGGAGTAATATATTTTTCTTTCCGAAATAATAGTAACATAACAATACTTACTGTCAAAATAGTTTGACGTTAACATGACAATATATTATATTGTTTATACTGCCATTAATAGCAATATTTTCAATTACGACAATAAATCATTAATAATTCCTATTTCGAAAAGAAAAATATAGCAATTTTATTTTAAAATTCTAAAACTTATTTATTTGAGCAATTTCCCATGCTTAATTCATGCATGAGTTATGAGTCGAAAAGGGACAACTGGCTGACCCCATTGATATGATGGAGAAAGTGAAGAGTTTGTCTATCTGGTGATGTTACAACTGGTTCTCGCTCAACCTTGGGTAGGTTTTGTCCAAAGTTTATTCATACAATCATACAAATCCTTGTTCAATATATTACGTGAACAAGCTTTCTTTTTCTATCTTAAAGGGAGGGATGTGGAAGCTTTTGGGTTACAGATTCCACTTTTGGAAACATTAAATGCATGTATTGATACAACTTAATTATTAATCAGATAATCCTTTTCATGTTATTGTTAGGCTATAGTTAAGTACACTGCAGCTGCAGCAATCAAACAAATCTGGCATATAAATATATATAGATTCAGCTTAATCAATCATGAATGTGCTACTATGGAGTAGGTGGAGGACCTAAATTAATAATGGTACTTAGTTTCATTAATATTAGAAAAAATCGCAACTATTGAAAAATCGCAACTATTGAAAAATCTTCTCAAAATACTTCACTTACTCATAAATAATACTCATATTATTTAAGTAATTTTGGGATTATCTCATAAATATAAATTTTTCAATAGTTGGAATTATTTTGAGATAATTGATACTTTGAATTATTTCAAGCAAATCACTAATAGTTGGGATTATTTTTGTCAATTATTCCTTAATATTATTAGATTAGAGTTTTTTTTTCTTTCACAAAAGATCAGAGTGTCATTTTACCTTCCAAACTACTACAAGTATCATTATTTTAATACATGCACTTCTATTTAGATAAATTTGATCATTTTGATAGGATAAAAAAAGTCTTATTTTAAGAAAAAACATATTAATTTATATTTTAGAAATTTGTTTATGTTATCCTCCTATTTTGAGCACTCTCTTTTATTTATAGATAATTATATTGAAAATACTTTGTTTGGCAAGAAGTATTAAAACCACAGGAAAAAAATATTCTAATAATTGATGAGTTTTTATTTAGACGGAAGATGAAAGATAAAAAAAATAAAAATGGTAAAAACCAGAGTGATCGATCGGACCTAATTGAATATACGATCATCATCATTATCATAATTATCATAAGAAAAATTATTTATGATTATGATTTTACACCAAATTCACGGTGTTGAGTTGTCCTTTTAAATTTTGGGATAAATTCATGAAACAATGACATATATATTACATCTTGGGTTATTGAAGACAAAAATATGACCATAAATTGATTTACGGAAAAGTGACAGAAATGATGTATCAATCGACTTTCAAACCCTTAGCCTAATCTACGACTTCCAAACCTTCCGTCATTCCCAGAGTACCAGACCAAGCCTTCTTCTGTGAAGACGGCACCGCAGCTTCCCTTCTCCCTCCTTCACAATCTCCGAAGAAGACGCTAATCGCCGCCGCCTATATTGCCCTCACCTTCTCCGTCACTAACGTTTCTCCCATTATTGTCCCCCTTGACCTCGAGCCGGTAACAGAGTTGGCGTAGGTCATCGTCACCGCCCTCTCCCTGAAATTCGCCGTCGTCCTTGTCCTCTCGAGGTTGCTGCGCCCACTTTTATTCTTCTTTTTCAGTTTGTGTTTGATCTGAGGGCAACGGCATTTGGGCTCCATGGTGTCGCCACCACATCCGTTGTTTTTGATCGAGTTGCTGGTGAGAAACGACCATGGCTAGGGTTGTTGTTTCGGGATTGGGGCTGGTAGTTTGGGGAGGCGGGCTAGAGAGGGGGACAGGGCTCGGGAGGTGAGCTGGAGAGGGGGTTGGGGCAGCCGGGCAGGGCAGGGCAGGGGAGGGGGCTATTGTTGGGGCGTGGGTTGGTGGTTAATGGGTTTGGGGTTTGGGGTTTGGGGTCAGTGGTTGCTGGCGGCTGTGGCCGGTGATTTCCGGTGGCTGTGGACGGTGGTAACTGCCAGAGAGGTGCAAGGGCGAGAGGTGGAAGGGTGAGGTTTTACTGACCTGGCGGTTGGTAACTATAGCGCGGCAACGAGTCATTAACGGTGGTGACGCTACTGGTGGTTTACATCTTCACCGGAAAAGGTTGTTAGAAAATTTTCCGATGATCATAGTGACATGTTTCACGACAAAAGTGACATTCAAAAGTGACATAAAAATCCAACAGTGAAATGTAACAGTGACGTAAAAATCTGGCAGTGACATAAAAAAGGATACTGACATAAAAAACGACAGGGACATCACGTTTTCCAAATATGTGACCTTCTTGGTCACATTTTTGTCCTTTTGTAAAAATAATCACATTTTTGGAAACTGGGTTCAATTTGATAATATTCGAGGAAAAAGCCCTAAATTCAATGGTAAGATTTCTCATAAAACTTCATCAAAAATATCACCCCTGAAGCATCTCAAAATGAAGTGTTAGGATGGCGCTCTTGTTAGGAGATTCCTAACAAAAACACTTGTGTATATTGTATGTATGCATGTATATAAAACACTTTGCCAAGTTGGTGTTGATTGTGAAATCAGAATAATAAAAATTGTATGATTGAAATTTGTGTAAATCAGAAATAAATGAACAGTCTCAATTAATTACTAACGAAAAATGACATTTTTTTGTGATAAACAAAGAAGAAAAGTTTGTAAAGTCCAATGAACGCATAGAAGAGCTAGGTAATTAACATTTTCGAAGTCTAGATGAGTGGATTATATATGCAGATCCATGGAATCATTTAATCACGTGATCATATCACAAAAAAAGGATCAGGCCTCCTTGAGGGCCCCCAACACCGACCAGAAGTTAAATGAGAGAATGTAAATTGGATTTTAATCACAAGTTGACAGATAGAGAGTGAGACTCTGACACCGGTAATTGCAAAGGTCTTATCCATTTTTAATAATAACATCTCATCGCAGTTGCCGGTATTCGAACCCGAAACTTACCCACTGTGACATCTCCTATCTACCAGTTGAGTTAGACCGTACCCATGATCATATCACAAAATGACTATAGCAACACCATGTCACCAATTATACACCAAATGCATATAATTGGCGTACAAGTACAATAGTACAAGTACAGTAAATGAACCGATAAGATCATATTGCTCTCTGAAACAGTTTGAATGTTTGATGGCACTTTAGGTATAAAAAGCATCTGACGTTAGCGACAGTGGAAACATAAAAGATTTGAATCCAATTACAACAATACTATTCCGGGCTTAACTTTTTTTTTAATATTTTTTTATGATTTTATGTGACATTCATTTATAGAATGATATAAAATGTTAGATATCTTTTATACATTTAATTAGTTAGTGCTACGGATAAATATTAAACTATTCAAAACAGTTTTGTTGGACTTATGTGTGCATATAATTAATGAACAGTTCCAGTAATAATTTTTGTGTTAGTGTGCAGGACCAAACATTTGACAAAACAGAATGATTAAGACTATGTTGTCGATATTTGTAATACGGAGTAATAAGTTTAGAGCAATAATTGTTAAGAGAGACCTACGAGTATTACCCCCAGGGTAATGAATCAGCGTAAACAAAAAAAAAAAACAGCGGGACTAGTTCAAATTTGACCTGGATTATAGTGGGACTAAAACGATCGGAAAATGCAAAATTAGGAATATCGTTTTCCCAATAGGAAAATAATCGACGGATGATGTCCTTGCACAATATCTGCCACGCCTTGCACGGTCGCCAAGTTTCCTAAACTTCTACAATTCCAACTGATTGTCTGATTATGCTCATGCTAAGAAAAAACCGAACACCGTATCCAGGGAGGTCATCGCCTGAAAAGAACCTAGAGACGGTGGTTCAGATCGGAAAGTAATTGAAAACGTATGTTGGTTCCAATTTATTACTTCCTCCGGTTCCAAAAGATCTTGACACTTTGACTTCACAGTTTTTAAGGAAATAAACATTGTTTGGCACTGTTAAACACTGTTTGGCACTGTTTGACACTGTTTTGTATAGATTTATTTGCCAAATAAGGAAAATAAGGAAGTGTAAAGATCTTTCTGGTAATGCTAAAAATGAAAAGTGTAAAGATCTTTCATAACCGGAGGGAGTATGTGTCAACTTTTAAAACTGCAAATTAACAACTTCAATTCTATTATAAAAAATTGTTCATGCATGATAAATAACTAAAGTAAGCCACTCGTAACTTGGCACTCATATAATTGGTCGGAGTACTTACTTAATTAATTGATTTTCCAGGACTGTTACGGGTATAGTTTAAAAAAGCGTTTCTCATCTTTTGGATTAAAAAAATTAAAATTAGTGTTTTCAAGTGAAAACTCCTACTAAAAAAGCGTTTCTAAGTTTTTGTGTGAAAAATGTTTTTTACTTTTTCTATTACACAAAAAGCACTTATTTTATCAAACACTATCAACTTTTAATTTTCAAAATCACTTTTTTCTCAAAACTATCAACTTTTACTACTAAATACGGAGTACTAATCAAATTTCCCAAATCACTTCAAAAAGTGATTTTTTAAAACAAAAGCATTTGCAAACACCCCCGTATACACTGTACTCTGTATTGAATTTATTTGGACTAGTGAATTAGAATCGGATGGTCGAATACCTTTTGTATATGGCCAGCCTCTAGTCTTCTCAATCTTTTTTGCACATGGGCTAACTAATACTATGTTGGGCCCAAGAATTATCACATTAATTCTGGTGGTAATTACCCGGATGAGTCATTTTTACAAGCTACGTATCATTTATGTCATCGTATTATAATTTTTTCATCTATGAACTTTCATCTTTTCAATTTACTTTCTTTTATTTCAAAAATAGTCTATTCATTCACCGAAACCTGCTTCCGCTCTCGCCTCCTTTCTCAGTTCTCATCTAGCTAAATACGAAGTACAACAGAAATGTCAATATGTGCGATGCGGAACACTTATGCTTCATCTTCACTCATGATTTCGATGGCAAATCTGCATAGAGCACATGCATCCAAAAGTCGAAGCTCAGAGATTCAAGCTAATTGATTCCGTGATCTGAACGCTTTTTTTTTCATTCTCGTGATTTAGCTGATATCATGATTCAGTCGAGTTCACCGATTTTATCGATTATGATAGGTGCGTTTAACTTTTATCATATAAGATTTTGAATCTGCGTTTGAATCTGTGCCGCTTTTGAATTAGGCGTATCACGTATATGACTTCTCTTCACGGAAAATCAATCTTCTTTTTTAGATGATAGATTGTTGTAACTTGTTCTCCTTTGGAGATGATGGATTGCCATGAGTCCTCTTCATTCTTCTACTTTTTGTTTCAGATAAGTGATTAAATTCATTTTTTGTTTCTTAGTTTAATAAAAAAATAAATATTCATCATCAATTACTAGTAAGATTTTTCTCTTGCCAGGGAAGTGGAAGGTGAAGTATTGTGGTATTTGATCCCCTGCAGCTGCTCTTTTTTATTAAATGGATATAATATTATGGAGCAATCAAGCTTTTTCAGGTAATAATTCTTCTATTGGTACTCTATGTTGGGTGTGTTTCGGAAAATAAAGAAAATTAATTAAAATAAATTAATTAAATAAAATGACTAAAGAAAAACAGGAAAGGAGATGAAGCAGAATTAGTCAAAGCTCGTGCTACGCACGATTTCCTTAAAACGTATTTGATGCCTCCCACGGTGCTAGGAGCGTTGCAACAATCGTTTCCCAGGATACGATGACTACGAACTAATGTTTGAGCACACAAACAAGAGTTCCAGCGAACGAGAACCAAGTATGAACACAGAAGGAAGTTTGCTGAGTAGCTTTAGGTGTTTTTAGCTCAAGAAATTCGTGAGGAATGTATTGTGCGTTGTTCTTGTTGCAAACCACTTGCCAGCTATTTATAGGAGGATTTGTTGTGTGTTAAATGGGGTGTTAATGGACCTGAACGTTGGACTTCAATGACCAGTCCGTTGGGCATTGAATCATCCATAAACTGTCCATTTAACGTTGCATTAAAAGACAAGAACGTTGGGCATTTAATAGTTGTAACGGCTTGGAGCAGTTCTGGTGCGCGATCAGAATACCCCCACCAGAGTTGGAGCAGTTCTGATGCTACCAGAAGACCTCCACCAGAGTTGGAGCAACTCTGATGCGAAGCCACCAGAGTTCGAGCTTGTGGTCCGAAGCCACCAGAGTTCGAGCAACTCTGATCCGAAGCCACCAGAGTTCGAGCAACTCTGATCCTGGGAAAAAAATAAAACGTTACGGGAAGAAACAAAACTTAGACCGTATCAGGATTTTTCTTCTCCGTTTCAGGATTTGATCGGCACCCCCCCCCCCCCCCCTGCGCGTAAGAGAGAGCCTTTCCCTTTAGGAATCTTAACTCCTTAAAAGAGGCTTCCCTTTATAAGGGGGTGAAAATCCCTTGAGTTTTTCGGTGTGGGATAAAACACACTAGAAACTCACCATTTTCCCAGTTTTTCCATTTCAACGAGTGAACTTCGAGAATCAATTTTTCATTCACCCGTTATCCGTTTTGAGTGTACCATATATCGAATTGTAGCCCTTAACAAGGACAATCCGAAACCACTTTGACCCGACCCAAATCGGAAATGGACTCCACTCAAATAATTGCCCCAAAAAGACCATTTAATGCAATTTTAACACATTTTTCCAACACTCTATTCTTCTAACTTTGTGCGCCTAAAGAGAAAGCTTAACAAAATGCAATTCTATGTGCGCGAAGAGAGCTCATTGGGTGAGTAATGATATCATCTCCCTTTGCCGCCTGCATTTTCTTATGTTTTTCTTTGTGTTTTCATCTTTCATCATCTCAAAATGACACTCTGGAATCTGGATGATGGGTCACAAGTGGGGGAATGAGAGTGAAAAATTAATGTGAGTAGTTTTTTAGAATTTTGAAGGACCCTTTCGGATTGAGAATGTTTGTAACCATTTTGTGTTTTAATATATTCTCAATTAAAGTCTCCCTGGTGAGGTGCTTATTTTAATTACACTTTTTTGGTATTGATGAATAGTGCATAACTACTAAAAGAAATGAATTTATATTTTGGCACATTTTAATCAATGTAACTATGTTAATACAAGGATAAAAATGGTTTCTGTAATGGAATAGAAAACTTTCCCTTTCCTTCAAAAAAATCGACATATAGTTAGCCATTTAAGTCAAACAACCGTCACCAAATAGGTCTTGGGTTACTATGAATTTTCCTATTAAAATGATGATCTTTTTCATTTCCTTGAAGTAGCTTTCTTGAATTATTCATTTACTTTGATTCGATGTGCATCATGCAACACCGGTAAAACATGATATTATGGAGCAATCAAGCTTTTTCAGGTAATAATTCTTCTATTGCTACTCTATTCTTCTAACTTTGTGCGCCTAAAGAGAAAGCTTAACAAAATGCAATTCTGTGTGCACGAAGAGAATTTTATTAAAAGGATATAATATTATGGAGCAATCCAGCTTTTTCAGGTAATAATTCTTCTATTGCTACTCTATTCTTCTAACTTTGTGCGCCTAAAGAGAAAGCTTAACAAAATGCAATTCTTTGTGTTTTCATCTTTCATCGTCTCAAAATGACACTCTGGAATCTGGATGATTGGTCACAAGTGGGGGAATGAGAGTGAAAAATTAATGTGAGTAGTTTTTTAGAATTTTGAAGGACCCTTTCGGATTGAGAATGTTTGTAACCATTTTGTGTTTTAATATATTCTCAATTAAAGTCTCCCTGGTGAGGTGCTTATTTTAATTACACTTTTTTGGTATTGATGAATAGTGCATAACTACTAAAAGAAATGAATTTATATTTTGGCACATCTTAATCAATGTAACTATGTTAATACAAGGATAAAAATGGTTTCTGTAATGGAATAGAAAACTTTCCCTTTCCTTCAAAAAAATCGACATATAGTTAGCCATTTAAGTCAAACAACCGTCACCAAACAGGTCTTGGGTTACTATGAATTTTCCTATTAAAATGATGATCTTTTTCATTTCCTTGAAGTAGCTTTCTTGAATTATTCATTTACTTTGATTCGATGTGCATCATGCAACACCTGTAATTTGCTTTACTTTCAATAAATATCAGAAGTTTTTGTTTGATGCCGCTAACAACCCTAGAGATACTGTTTCTAGATTTAATGACAATGGGATGGAGGGAAAATATTATTATTGATGGACATCATGAGTTTTTTGCACTTTAATATACATAGTAGGCTAGTAGCTAATATTGTATCGTGAATGTGAAAACTGAAAAGTAAGTTGAAGGATGTATTCATTAAACATATGTAAATGTTGTAATTATATTGTTTTGGCTTTATTGTATGGTGTTGTTTTTTGTTAAATCAGGTTGTTTTTTGTAATATTGTGTTGCTTTTGGTTTCATCGTGTTTCTCTTTATTTTGTTTCTTTTTGTTTCGTCTTGTTGCTCTGTATTTTGTTTCTTTTTGTTTCATCCTGTTGCTCTTTATTTTGTTTCTTTTTGTTTCATCATGTTGCTCTTTATTTTGTTTCTTTTTGTTTCATTATGTTGCTCTTTATTTTGTTTCTTTTTGTTTCATCCTATTGTTCTTTGTTTCTTATTTGGACATCTTATTTGGGCTACTGGATTTATGTTCTTAATTTCTTGGCGAGGCTATTGGCAGGAATTAATTGAAACTTTAGCATGGGCTCACGAACGTACACCTTTGGCAAATTTGATTAGATGGAGAGATAAACCGGTGGCTCTTTCTATTGTGCAAGCAAGATTAGTCGGATTAGCCCACTTTTCTGTAGGTTATATATTGACTTATGCTGCGTTCTTAATTACCTCTACATCGGGTAAATTTGGTTAAATTGCCTGTGTTTGTATCCTTGAAAATATCATTTTTTATGTAAGGGGTTTTTATTTCTACATCTAGGATTACACTTATATTATGTATACGATACTAATAGGAACTTAATATTTATGGCACGAAAAAGTTTGATTCAGCGAGATCAAAAAAGGAAAAAATTGGAACGAAAATATTATTTGATTCGTCAAGCCTTAAAAAAAGAAATACGTGAAGTTCCTTTGTTAAGTGATAAATGGAAAATTTATGAGAAATTACAATCCCCACCGCGGAATAGTGCACCAAATAGGAAATATTTTTGAATTCAATCGACGAAATCCAATGGTCCAGAAAAGTATATTTGAATTCATTCTATTTTTATTGAACACCCGTGCTCTCAAATAGGAAATATTTTTATTTGAGAGCATGGGTTTCACAAATTTTTAGCTTTTCACGAAGTAAAAAATTAATGTCTTTTTTTATTTATTCTAAACATTAAAAGAATAAAATCTTTTTTTATGTTCGCGAAAATGAAGCATAAGTATGTAGACCTAATCCAATTAAATTGACTCCAAAATAGCATATCCAAATAAGAAGAAAACCTATAGATGCCACAATTGCCGAAGTAACACCTTCGAAAGTTCTATTTCTTCGAGTATGTAGATAAATTGAAAACACTATCCAATTAATAAAAGCCCAAGTCTCTTTAGGATCCCAACTCCAATAAGATCCCCACGCTTGGTTCGCCCACAAAGCCCCCGAAAGTATTCCTATGGTTAAAAAGATAAACCCTAAACTAATAACTCGATAACTCCAATAATCCAATTCTTTACTTAATTGAATCTTATAAAAAAATTTAGCCGAAAAAATATAATTCATTTTAAAAATATTTTCATTTTTTCTAAAGGTAATGACCATAAGTGCTACTGATAATAAGGAGCCACATATAAGAGCTGCGTAACCCACTATCATCATACTTACATGCATTATTAACCACTCAGATTGAAGAGCGGAGACTAATATTGAAGATTTTTTAATTTCTGTGAAAAGACCCGAAGTAGCAAAAGCCTGGATACAAAAATTGATTGGGCTTATTATTGTACTTAATAATTTTGTATTTTTTTAAATAGAAAAGGCTATTAATAAGAGCAAAACTCCAGGAAAGAAAAAGCAAAGATTCCGATAAAAAGTTTAATAGCTCGTTGTTATTTTTTATTTGGATTTCAATTTTTTACTACTTTAGAATAAAAAAACCAATATAATTATATGTATATATAATAGTATTTTTAGGTTGACGAAAATTAACAACAAAAAACATGAATAAAAACAAAAAATATCAAATTTATGAATAAAAAGAAACATAATGAAACAATATGCAACAAAAATAAAAAATAATATGCCTTGGTGATAATTATTATATTTGTAGCTAAAAATATCAAATCAAAAAATTCACATTATTTATTTTTTACAAATTTGCCACTTTTTATTAATTTTAATTTTTCGCATTTTCATTTTCAAGAAATTAAATTTTATTCTATGCGAATTTACACAATTTTAGTGTTTTTTGTGCGTTTTTATATTTTTTGTCAAATAGATTTTTTTATTGTGTAATTGTTAATGTATCTTTTTTGAAACTTTAGGTATATATTGTCACTTTAAGACTTTTCTAAATTTATTTTAAATCTTTTTAATCTTTAAAAATAATTTAAAAAAATTTGTGTGTCTAATTACTTTTTATATAATTTATTTAAATTATTATTTTATAGAATTTTAATGATTTAGAATTTTAAAGTTCAGTGTTATTGTTTTCAATTTTCTAGATTTTTTTGATTTTTTTGAGGGTTTATATTTTTTTATATAGTACGGAGTGTATGGACATTTAAAAATTTAATTGTTGTATTGTTAGAAACTTAGAATTACTTTTTTTTTACTTTCTAAACTTACTTTACGGTATTTCATCATCAAATTTTTATATACTTCTTTTCGTTAATATGAGTATTTTTTTTTTACTTTTTAACTTAATTTGTCGTTTTTGACTTTTATTTCTTTCTATTTATTATCATTTTTTTTTTTGAATTTTATTGAATTTTAACATTTTTCTGTTAATTTTAACATTTACTATGATTTTTTTTTACTTCCGATCCCTTCACTTGAGAATCTAAAACCATGGATAGATACAATACCAACGTGTTGACAAGAGCAGAGCTTCAATTCCCGTAGATGGGGTTTTTTATATACTACTCCGTAGTAAGTAGTGTATTTGTGAAAGGAAAATTTTGGTGAGTCTATTTTTGAAAACAATTCTATAAGTTGACTAAAGTGATATAATTTCCAGTTTTAGGCTTATTTGTGAAAAATCCCCAGAGGCCAAAGTCCTTGGAGGAATGACGAAGAGGCCCAGTACGGGTGGATGCAAGGCTGAGCGAGCAAACTTGACCCATGAAGAAAGGAGCGGAAGTGATAAACACGAATAAATAGACTACAATGACCACTTTGTAACATACATCATTCCTCATCAAAAACCATACTCTTGCTACTATATTCAAACTCTCATATTCAATAAATATACGTATTATTTTTTTATTCAAATTCATTATTCTTAATTCTTATACGATCCCCATTCGATTCATATCGTATTTTAGATTAGTTTATTTTTGAGAGAATTTCCTTAATAGGAGTACAAAAGTTTTGAAATTTCATAATAGGAATATCATATTTTTTATTCCTTAAATAAGAGTAAATTTCTGCCAAGTTTGACATTCTTAAGCTTTAAAACATGACATTTTTTTCCAAATTTGGCAGATTACTCCTATTCAGGAAATAAAAAACATGATACTCATATTTTGGAATTTCAAAACGTTTTTGCTCCTATTCAGAGCAATTTCTATTTATTTTTGCATAAACATACTACTACTAGTACTTCATATTATTTTATTGTTGGACCTTCAAAACAAGTGGGCTGGATGCATCTGCCCTGTGCTAGCCCTGCTTGGGGCATATGTAAACGATTCGAAATTACATTTAATACAGACTTACAGAGTATATCAATATCTTCTCTCTACTTTTAGCTCTCAATTCTCTCTGAATATGACTAACAATATTCGGGTGAACTCTAAGGTAAAACACAAAGCAATTTAGTCATTTTATACAACATTCAAAAACACTTGTAAGTTGTAACTAGGGATGGACCGGTTCCAGTTCGGGCCCGGCCGGGCCTTGATTCATGAAGGGGAGGCCCGGAACCGGCCCGGGTAACCACCGGGTCCGGGTCGGGCCTCGGTTCTATTTTTTTTTTTGGCTTTTCCTAGTTAACCCCCAACCCTCCCCCTCACCCCCAAACCAACCCTAACCACCTCAAATGGCCCAAAATACCCAGCCCAACCCAAAAACTTAAAAAAAAATCAAAAAAAAAATGGCCCGGCCCGGCCCCGAACCGGCCGGGCCGGTTCACCTTTTGAAGGGCCCGAGCCCGGACCGCCATCCCACCGGGCCGGGTGGCCCGAACCGGCCAACCAACCGGTTCACCGGATCGGTCCGGGCCCACACAGTAGCGGGCCAGTCCGGTTCCGGGCCGGTTGGCCCGGCCCGAGTCCACCCCTAGTTGTAACCCACTCTCATATATATATTTGAGAAAACCACCTTAATGAAAATACCTTGCATACAAATTGCCAACGGAAAATGCTATACATCAATGAAGGTAACATAGTTTGTGCTTAATGGCTAATTTTATGAAATCATCATGCATGACTCATTTATGTTGTTATATAAGCTAAGTTGATAATTTGATATCACCACCACCAATCAATTTTAATGAAATTTTCCCTAAAAACGAGTTGTGGTAATGAAGCCATTTAATCTATATTAACTTTTTACAATTTTAGATCCTTAATTCTGATTGTTTTCCCGTTTTTCCTTCCTCCATTCCCATGGCATCACTGGGTTCTTGGATGCCCACAATCCAATTCGCTTTGCTCTTGCCTCTTTTTCCCACTAAAATACACCCAAAAAAAATTTAAAAAAAGCACAATCGTAGCATCTGATGGAATGGATAATGTTTAATACTCTTGAATCTTAAAGGCATGTTTGGGTTATTCTGGCTTTTGATTTTAAACTTTCACTTTTTCGTTTTTGGTGCGCGACTATAAGTTTTTCACTGTTTTTTGTTTTTCTAGTGAAAATCAATAAATAAAAAATATTGATAAATAGTAAATAGATCCCTGTCCGCACTCAAATTATTTTTAGGAAAAAAAATTACATATTCAGAAACTACATTAAAAGATTTACAAAGTCGCAAAAACCAGAATCAAATTTGATAAAAATTTGATACATAAAGTAAGAGATTAAGAAAGATCTGTGTCGACCAAGTGAATATGAAATGGGACAATAATAGGGAGACTGGGAGTACTACCTATATAGTATTCCTCCCCTCCCCACAGTTGTTGGAAGGACTAAAAGTGGCAGTAAATTCGTGGATGTAGAACCAAATCGGAAAAGTTAAAAATGGAGACTAAAATGGAAAATTTACTCGGACAGTAGCAATTTACCTTTGCCAATTCTGGGCGTTGATCATACGCCGTGTAATGCCATGCCAGACCCTTCTTCAGCATAATTTCCTACATTGAACAAAATGTTTATACTCATCATCAAAATATGCTTTAAAAGGTTCAGCTGGTTTGAACGAGAAACCTAAAAGGAAGTGGTTCAACTCAGCAGACCGCATACACTCTCTTATGGAAGGTCTCGTGTTCGAAACTCTATAGAGTTTCAGCCCTGTTTACTTCGTTCCTCCGACTTATATTGACACTAATATTTACGTCTATTTTGAGAAATTTTCACTACGAAAACAATCAAAAGGAAGTCAAAACTGCGTACCTGTACAAACAAGCCATTGCAATATACATCTCCTACTGACCGGCCATAGCGATCCTGATCAAAGACCATCACTTTTAGGTTCTTGCCTTCAACAATTCTAACAAGCTCGTCCTTGGATTCTTGTCCAAACGGCATCTTGCTTTCTGGGGCATCAATACCTCTGTTTCTCATTCCTATATTAGTCCCAAATAAGACCTTATACACAAAATGTTTTCTTTTTTAAGCGTACCTTAACCGAATCCTATATTTCCGAGCCAGAACCTCCTCATTATTCACTCTTATTGCCCTGCAAAACAGAGGGGTTTCAGCCCATGGATAAAGATATGTTTACAGTGTTATGCTTAAAGTCTTCGTTTTGTTTATTATTTTAATCCTGTAATACCATACCGTTCTTTCAACAATTAACCAATAATAGTCGTAGTTGAAATATTACAAAAATAATGCCAATTCTTGATCGCACACTTCTTCTTCCTTGCGTTTTCTAATCCCCATTTACCCACTCACACACTTCATAGCAATTTCTTTTTCTCCTGGCAATTTGAATTAACATCAATGTTTTCTTGTGAAAACCTCACAGCCATTACTAGTTCAGATTATTTATATCAATATATGATTTTACGATAATAATTCCTACTTCAAGTATTCATATTATATGAATACTTGAAGTAGGAATTATTATCGAAAATCCCTGAAAATGGGAATTATTCCTGTATATTTCATTATAATTGTCATTTTTTGTCTGCAAAACATCCATGTAAGTGAGATTAACAACATAAGAACAAGTTTCCCAATCTTATTGCCCAAGGTTAAAGTTCTTTCTGAAGCAAAAGGTATTTGACCAACCGATATCCCGAGCTAATAATGTGCTTGTGCAGCTCATCTGCTCTTTCATAATTCTTATGTGCGCGTGCAGTTTCTCTTTCGTGGGCGGCAGCTGCAACATCTCTCGGAACGCAAGAGGCCTCTCGGGGATCTGTGACACTTACATATACAGTTATTGTATCCCCATCTGCCACTGCTTTTGCATCCACCTGAGAGTAATAGATTAAGTTTAGCACTGCATTTCAAATAGAACTCATCACTTGATCAGGTTAAAAGAATTTATATTACTTACTGGCAATGTAAGTAGTTCAAACTTGAGCCCGTGCGCGTGCTGCGGAGGACCTCCATCTGTCAGCTCAACTAAAGAACCGGGAAGCGGGAGGCCGTAAAAAACCAGTAATCCCTGTAGTGAAAATTGCGTCGAAAATTGCATAGGCTGACTGTTACTTCATGTTTTAATGGTGTGGACAAAAATTTCTAACAAGTAACACCCATTCACATTTTGACACTATGTATATTGTGTCATGATTCATTTGCTTTTTGCTTGATTTCATTGTTATTTTCGATTTTCGTTTTCCACAAAAAGCCTACACCATAATCGAGTTAGTTCTATATCACGTTAAGATTCATAATTCTTTCTTAAAGATCAAATCTGGTATAAGAGTTACCATCTATTCTTAAATAGTAGTTTAAACGTTTAGGTTTTGATAATATGCATGAATATATCAGCACCTCTTGCCTTCACGACTATACACTTCACGACTACACACTTTGTTTGGACTTTAAATATTGTTATTTTCAACCATTTTTATTTTAAGATTCTTTTTATAATATTTCACTGGGACACAACTCACTTTCAAAGATATGTGACTATGTATAGTCACTATATATGAAAATACAGTATAAGCGCGGCCACCAAAGTGTAAAATATAATAGACCAAAGTCCATAGTCATTCAATGCAAAAACTGGGTGATAAAAAGTAGTGTTTCTCTATATTTACTTTTCTTATATAATATCCTTCCGTCCCGGAAAACTTAACGTAATTTGACTTACGTGTAGAATAATAAAATAAAATTGTGTTGTTAATATTAGTGCAGATTGTGCAAATGAGAGATAATTTTAACCACATTTTTATTACTTTAAATGAAAATGATTGTTTTTTGGGACGGCTAAATAAGTAAATTTGGCAAAGATTTTTGGGACGGAGGGAATAGTCATTATTTCTTATTTTAATCACATACTCCCTCATACTAATACATTTTTTTCATCTTTCGTGTTTTGATTGTCCATAAAACGTTATCACTTTCTATTTTAATTAATTGATTTATGATTCTTATCATTTCATTCTCATCTGCGCAAACTTGAATCATACGGAGTACAATTTTTATTTTATTATTCTCCATGTCGGGCAAACTTAATAAGATAATAAGGGACGGAGAGAGTATTTATTAAACTCTATGATTGTGGTGATTTGGTCATGTGTGTTGAAGAGCGAATGATGTCCGTGTTAGACGAACTTAGAGGTGGGAAGAAGAAGCATGGAGGAGAGGGTGAATAACCCAACAAAAGTGGATTCGAGTAATCAGGAATTATATGGTACTTCTACAATTGGTTGAAAGTATGATTTTGAAAAGAGCGGGCGGAGGCAGAGTATATACATGTAAACGATTGATCTCTTTTTTAACTCAAATTTCATAAGAACTTTTTAAAGAAAAAAGTTTGAATGTTAATGCATTTGTTAAATTCTATGAAAGTGGGGGATTAAATATGGATTTTAGATTTTCACCTCAACATCTGCTTTCTTATGCCCTTTCAGAGTCTGGATTATAAGCCTTGAAGCTTCCTCTGGAGTTTGAGGAGGCCTTCCTTTTCTCCATGCTACTGAAAGTTTCCCATACCTTCAATACCATAAAAATTGCATAAATTTATTGTTGTCTGTGTCCTCAAGTTACTCCCTATGTCCACATTTGATCTGAACGCATAAACTTTGAAAAAAAATGGGTGAAAAGATATTATTCAGAAAGATAAGAATGCATATGAGTTTATGACCATATCAACCACAAAAATTATACAATTCTTTTCTTTAGCCCAGAGTTATGAAAGATGGAAAACCAAAAAAAAGTACTCACTTTGTCCTTTAAAACTTTGGTAAATAATGTGGATGAGAAATAAGAGTAAACTCAAAATAACTGATTAAGATTAAAAGTCTCAAAATTATTGAGACAATAAGAAAATTAAAGATGTCAAAAAAGTAGGGACAGAGTAAGTATCATTCTATTTAATCAATTATTAAGTACTCGTATAATCTAATTATTTTCTATAAGTCAACAAATTCATTATGAAATTGGTGTTGTCAATTCATATGATTATTACCAGTTTGATTGAGCCTTCTTGGATGATACTGCGTGCTGGCTTAATCCTTGAGGAACCTTAGAAAATAAAAATAAAGAGGATATATAAAAGATGAAAAATGTAACCAACTGAGTAAAGAAAAGTATTTTGAAGGCTCAACTGATTAGTGTAAATGAAGCAACAACAACAAAAAAAAGGTGCATATGAGGGTACCTGGGAGGTGATCTCAAAGTTGTAGAGATCTTGAGCGAGAGCAGAGACTCCGACGGTGGCCGGCGTTATTCCATGGTGGCCCAGAGGATCGGAATCCGCCGAGGGTTTGCAGCACTGGCCGTACAAGAATCTTAAAGCATTACCCATTTTAATCAGCTAACTGAGGAGTGAGCGATTACAACAGAGTAGGAAAATAGATGGATGGATATCAAGAATTGAAGCAACTGTTTTATGAAGAGTGAAAGAAAATCAATCAAAGTATATTTCCCAGATCGAAGTCGTAAGACATATGTCGTGTGACAATAGGCCTATTTCCATGTTACTGTGTTGGTTGGTTTACTTTTTTTTCACGGAGTACTTTTTTTCCGGTTTTCTTTTCCATTCTTTTCCATTCTTATGAACTCACCACAAATCATTGAAAGAAGTAAATTTGAGTGAATGGAACAATTCATCAAGTTTTTAATGCATATCTACACAACATTACGCACAAGAAGCTAACTCTTACACCACAGTTTGAGGCAAGATAGAAAAACGGGAAAGTTCCCGAAATAAGACTAAAACAGTTTGAAAATTCCAAAATAGAACTGTCATAATTTTTATTCCCAAAATAGGACTAATTACTGCCATGTTTAGAAAATAATGTCATGATTGAAGTTTGGTACTATCAAAACATAGCAGTAATTAGTCTTATTTTGGGAATAAAACATGACAGTCCTATTTTGGAATTTTCAAATTGTTTTAGTCTAATTTCGGGTAATATTCTCACGAAAAACCAAATGTGCAACTACTAACTTTTATATTTTCAGATTCACTCTTTTTTCAAACACTACCAACTTTTACAACTAATCACTCTGTACAAAAACACTTTAGGAAATCACTTTTTAAAGGTAGAAGCAATCGAAAACACTCTCTTACACCATTCTCATTTGTGGACTTGTGGGCTTTTAACAATCTCACCCATTCATGATTTCTTTGTAATCACAATTATAAGATCGTACCCCAAGTCCCCAATAACAATCCAACATGCATGACTGAAAACCTGTATCCCAAGTTCCCAACTAAAAAGAGGATACTTTTTTTTATGACCGAAAATCTACATCACCAATACGGTAACGGACCTGAGACCTCCGTTAGGATACGGTAACCTCCCATCCAGTGAGTTAGAATGTTTGGTTAAAAAAAAAGAAGAGGATACTTAATGATATTGATGAGAACTATAATCAGTCTACTATGATAATCTTAAAATGTGAAATTTTAACAAATATATCAAAAAAAAGAAAATAATACGGAGTATAATTTATTATTACTCTCAGCATTCATTCAGCAATGATACTCATAATTGGGAACTATTAATATAGAGTATTTTATATTATCATCACCGCCTACATTCATCCATTAAAACGTAACGTTCTATCAAAAAAATTGATCATTATTGACTCGTGTTAAATTTGTAAACCCATACAAAAACGATCAAAACTCGTATACTAATTAAAACAACGACATCAACAAATATAATGATACATTCATAATGAAGCAATTTCCGATATAAAATCTACAAAAACATAAAATAAAAGGGGGAAAACTATATAACACAAACGATTACATCTAAAATAGTAAATAGCATCAACTTCATGAAGTACATGCCACTTACACTTAAGTACTCCCTCCATTCCCTATCTTTGTCCCAATTTACATTTTTCGTGAATTCCATTAATTTTGTCTCATATGATATTTATTTTATTCACACTTTACTAATTCAATATCAATCACACAATTCCACTTTTCTTTAAAAAATCGCATCACTCCCTCTTGTCACAATCGGTGTTTCATCATGAGGAAGAAAAAGAAAATACAAATGAATATAATGGTATTATAAAAGTACTCCTTATTACTTTTAATAAATCGCCATAAAAAATAATGACCTCATTAACATATGGATATTCTAAGGAGATTGCCTTGGATAGGACTTGGAAGTGAAACAATGTAGGATCAAACATTTAAATTCCTAAAATATGACTTTTAGTTCTTATTCTACTCATCCACACATTTATTATTTTTTCTTCCTTCTATCATATAAGGACCTTCTCTTCCGTCTCCTCACCCTCACCTCCTCCGCTTCCTACTCACCCATCCTCGAGGGGAAAACGTAGTGGCGGTGGAGGACGCGATGATGTCATATGAGGATTCGCCGGAGGGTAGTGGATGTCTCATCGGAAGGCGACAATAATGGTCTCGTCGGAGGGTGGCATTCGTTGTTCATATGCTTTTGGATGCATTGTAATGTTTTTTCTATAAATATAGATAAAATAAATTCGGTTGTACAATTTCATTGACTCAGTTTTTTTTTACTCCTACGAGACATGTCACTTCTATTAGTCCACATATTTAATGTTATACTCATATTACGAGACATAAAAATTGCACTTGAGAACGATTGGTTGATAGCAAAGCAAGCAAGCAGTTTTCACTGCTCCAACTCTAAATTATTGGTTTAATTTCATAATTCTCATCACCCACTTGACACTTGTATTATACTGTACTCTTTAACTATTTCTCGTAATGTTCTGCAATACCATTTGTTATGAAGTATACCATGGGTTGTGAAAGAATCTTTCAAATCTTCAAGGAAGAAATCATCAAATTTATCACATCTGTACTCTTCTTCGTCTGCTCAAAAGCACTTGATCATTTTACCATAACCGATACTCCGTGTATCATGCTTTGAAGATTGGAGAACCCCAAATACATCTTTTGTTTATTAGACACAAACATCTTAGATGTTCGGAGTCATGATCCACACATAAAAGATGGATACAACTGCTGTTTTCTTACTATATGCCACTTCTTTATATTAAATGTATGCATTCGAACTAGGGGTGGATTGGGCCGGGCCGAAACGGCCCGGAACCAGACTAGCCCGCTACTGTGCGGGCCCGGCCCGGCCCGGCCCGGGACTGGATGGCCGGTTCCGGGCTTTAGCCCGGTTTGGGCGGTTCTGGCGGGCCGATTCCGGGCCATGATTTTCATGAACCAGACCGGGCGGTTCAGGCCGGGACCGGTTCATTTTTTTGTTTTTTCATTTTTTTTCTTTTCCTTGGGTAGAGCCGGGTGTTTTGGGGGAGTTTTTTGGGAGGGGGGTCGGGGGTTAATTAGAAAGCCAAAAAAAATTAAATAGAACCGGGTCCGGCCCGGTTTAGCCCGGACCCGGTATCAACCCGGGCCAGTTCCGGGCCCAACATTCCAAAAAAAAGCCCGCACGGCCCTAGGCCCAGAACGGCCTGGGTCCACCGCTAATTCCAACAAGACCATGAGTGTTTCATGACGTCTTATAAAGAAAGCTAGAGCATATGCTATAATGGTACAAGTAATTTGCAACAATTTTATCAAAAAAGGTGAAATGTTTTCAATTCTGACAATTCCTACTTCAATTTATTCCAACTCCGTGTATTTAAGCGTTTTCTGTTTAAACAGATAAAATACACACATACTAGAAAGATTTACCAAAGATTCTTACAAATCACGGTGAAAATGAAGAGTTTTCCCATCAAGGTCGTCAACATAAAAGTATATTCTCAAATTACGGGTATTTAACTTGAAATACAAACGATGATCGGCAATCAAACGTCCATTTTGACATTTATTATTCTACGCAGTAAAAGTAAAATTTCCAGACATTTTACACTAAAGGACTTGAAAATGGCACAACTTTCTTAACGGAGAATTCAGAACTCCGTTAGAGTTAGAAAAGCAACTGTACAAGCGATGCTGCTAAGCAAACAAACACTGAAACGACACAATGACGAAATAATTCACAACTCGTCAGTAACCTAACTCAGTGAGTCAATAAGTCGGTCCCCTCTAACGCGGCTGCTGAATCGGCCTGGGACTCACTTTCACGTTCACGATCTTCGGAACCTTCCGGCCAAACTTCGGAACCTCCGCCAAATCACGCGATTTTTTCCACTTCAGGACCCCTAAACTCACCAGATCCTTCCTATTCTCCTCATCTGGATCATACAAATGACGCGATATAATGAGAAATGAGATATACGCAATGAACTCGCTTGATTGAAAGATGGAGGAGTACTAGGGTACTTACGCTTGGATCCGCCGTTCCCATCGGCGACGAGATCGGAATCAAAGCCGGAGAAATCAAAGTCGTCCAGATCGGGGAGGAAGGAGTCTTCATCAGCGTAGCACTCGCGAAGCCAGTAGTCGCGGAACCAGGGAGATGAGCGGATCAGGTCCCACCACTGGTCGGAGAAGTCTTCTACTGCACGGTACACAGATGGAACGAAGACTGGAGCGTTAGGATTCAGAGTAGAGGTCGCCATTTAGGGATAAGAAAGAGAGGTAGAGGGAGCAGGGGAGTAGAGAGAGGAGTATTGTATAGTAGTAGCTGAAAGAGCGTATGCGAAGTGCGGGATTTAAGCAGAGTAGATACGAAGCTGCTCGCGTACACGTCGTAGGTGTAAGGGTATCTTTGTACATACACGCAAAATACACGCAAATATGTTCGGTTAGTTTTTATGATTAAAATTAAGGATATTTCTAAAGCGTATGTTTCTTTTCTGATCTAATCTGGTCTGTTTAAGTCAATTCTCATCTGTTTAAATCTGGCTTATCTGGTCTGAACGGGTCTTTTCTGGTAAATGTCTGATCTCTTTCTATTTTATAACTACAGAAGTTTTGTCTGGTCTGATCTGGTCTGTTTAAGTTTGGTTTGGTCTTCTCTAGTCTGTTTAAGTCTGGTCTGGTCTGATCTGTTTAAGTTCGGTCTGGTCTGATCTGTTAAAGTTCGGTCTGGTCTGGTCTGTTTAAGTCTGGTCTGGTTTGGTCTGATCTGTTTAAGTCTGGTATGGTCTGATCTGAGACTAAAAATAGTCCAAGAAAAAATCCTAACTTTCTACTGACTTTGAAATTAGAAAAGTAAAAAGTATGGTTGAGGTTTTTACAGCAAAAAGAAATGTACAACCCCACAAATCCATTGCCCTAAATAGTCAGTGATGAAGTTTTTATATAAAGAAAAACAAAAGTTGATAATGTCTAGTGAGATAGATGAAATATTTCTTTTGTTCTTTAATAATTGTAACACTTTGAATTTTAAAGGAGATTTCCTTAAACAAGACTAAATAAAAGGATAATTACAACAATAGGAATTTAAATTTTAAATTCCCAAAATAGGACTAACTCTTCCTATTCTACCATTTCTCTTGTCCTTCTTAATATGTTTTTTTAATAATCATTATAAATCAAAAAAAATAATAATAATAATAACAAATAAAAAAATATACAGACTTCAATCATCACATAATCCACCTTCCAACACCGCCACCTTCTCTCGCTGGAAAATATTGCCAAGTTGGGGGGGATGTAATCGTGATGACAATTTTGAAAAAGAAGTTGAATATTTTTAAAAGAGGAAAAATGTTATCATCATGGCACTTTCAGATAAATGTGACATTTTTTACACAATATGTCATTTTTCCAGGCGATCGGAGGTGGTGGTGTTGGGAGGTGGAGGATGCGGAGGTAAAGGCCTACATATTTTTTAGGTATTTTATTTATTTTTAGTTTTTTTTAAAATATTTTTTATTTTTTTCCCTGATTTTTTTAATTTATAATTTTTGTTACGATTTTTTATGGTTTTATTATAAATAAAACTATGATTTTTTTTATTAATATATAAATCTATTAAAAATTATAGATTGAAGGTAGAATAGGAAGAAGAGACATATATTACTCTTATTTTAGGAATAAAAGAAGTATAGTTCTAATGTAGAATTTTGGGCTACTTTTAGTCCCATGGGCTATTACCCATATTTTAAACTTTTCATATATGTTACTTTAATCACGGTTTCTACTAATATATGTAGCAATAAATCAAATAATTATGTATAAAATATTACGTAGTATTAAAACTTCTCCTCATGTGAATTTTCAAAATATTTTACTTTTATAATGTTTACTGATACGCAATTAAATATAATTACAGTCAAAGTTATTTTTTGACAAACGTGAAAGTCAAACAAATGCTATCAAGAAACGGAGATTGTACGTAGTATGTGATACAAACAAATGTTCTTCGGCGTTTGCTCACCGATGGATGAATTATCTTCCGAGTTAAGAAAAAAGTGTGTGACACAAACAAAAAGTTATTCATATTGACAATTCTTCTCTCTAAATTTTGTTAGTATCACAAATAATTCGACTAAAATATAGTCAAGTTATCTATGACAGACAATTTCAACAAACATCTTTTTCCTAGAAGATAACATTGATTGATCTCGTCACCCCTTATTAATTTATCGGATTTGACGCTCCTATCTTGCTTTAATTTGGCAATCAATGAAGGTGTTTGGTCATTTTAAAAACTCTCAAAAAATCAAAAAAGAAGAATATGAAAGGGTGTTGGGTTAATAGGCCCAACTGTGGAATGATCCATTAACCCTTGGCAGGAAAACCATCAAGGTCCAATTTGGGAACGACCCGATAAGGAGGCCTGCATGACTCTCATCCTATCGGCGAAGACTCTCGGCATTTGTGTTGTTGTCCAAATGGTGCCAGGTGATGATCTAAGAGCCTCGGGGAGGGCGTTCAACATGGCCCAAGCAGCGAGCCTAGCCTTGGGCATACTTTGGCCCAAGATAGGAGATCAGGGGGACGCTCGTACAGAGCCTTTGACGGGAAAGCAAGATATTGACGGGAAACACATTTAATGCAGTAGATTTGGTGGTTGAGGAAGTCAACCACTCAAGGACCTCCACATCACCACTACCACCAGGGGCGGAGCTAGAGGGGTGGCCAACCGGGCCACGGCCCACCCCAAATTTGAAAATTCTTTGTATTTTTAGTCTAAAAAATTATGTGGGAAAAAAAAATTATTGGAAAAATTCTTTGTACCAGCCCAGCCCAACCTTCAATCCTAGCTACGTCCCTGACTACCACCTACCCCTCGGTAGTATAAATAGTAGCATTCATTTAATAGTTAAGGGTTGGCAACTTGTATTCACTAGCTATAGGAATTATTCCCATGTACTCTCAGCTCAAATAGACGGTCGACCTCATCTGACAGTAGGTTGTGCTATAATAGTTCGTTATTATCAAGTAATAAGAACTCAACCCAGTTACTAGATATATCATTTGCTTGCCCATTTAATGCTTGTGTCATTCACTATATACGATCCACTAAACTAATTCCCTATGAAATCCAAAGGAAAGTGTTTGTCCTTTAGAGTTGAAGGAATAGACCTCAACAAAGGATATAAGATCAAGGTGAAACCTTGAGTTATATACAGAGATATGAATTACAATAAGTGTTATAGAAGGCATCACATCAAGGTGAAACCTTGAGTTATATACATTTCATAGTTTATACGTAGTTTACTCTAATAAATTTAAATAAGACATATAGAAATGTCTTTAAATAAACACATGGGATATTGAAAATGCACATTATAATTTCCATCTTACATCATATGAATGAAAAACATTATTCTTATACCTTTGTTTATATACCAAATGATAATTTAATCGTGTATTTTGATTTAGAATATAAATAGATGTTCCCATTTAAAAAAATATCATAAAGATTACACAGTAAAATGTAACTAAATTCTTTGTTTTTGTTAATTCAATTTAAGAGGTCAATATTTCTCAAAGTTCAATAAAGATCGTATGAAATAAAAGGTCGAAATACATTCAAGTTCTTAAATATGAGAAGCTCTTAGTTGAAATATCAAATAACATAACCTAAAATCTCTTATATATCCTAAAACTAAATACATCTAAATTGGTCTATTGACACCAAAAGAAATATAATGAAACTAACGATTTTTATTGACGAAAGAAGAAAATCATAAGTGAATGCCCAAAATTGACGGGCTATAAAACCTTATTGTTCAATAAAAGAATCACATGTAATCATAGTATCCAATTTTGGTCTACATGAAATCTTAGTTGTCAAGATTCCCATGTAACTATATTACCATAGTGTCCAATTTTATCATTTTATCATTAGTTCTGATTAGTTTATAAAAGACACTCATTCTATTCAAACTTTTGATCTTATAAATAATGCATAATATCTATTAGTGTTTTTCCTCTTAATCTATATTAAAGTAACAATATCAGGGCATAACACTAATTAATTACAAGTAGGGTGAAATAGTGAGTATAAAACATTCGGCAGAGAGTGGTTAGGCAGTTACAGATGTGGAATAATAGATTTATGACTAGAGTCGGGAGGAAAATACTTTTAAAAACAGTTATTTAAGCTATGCTTAACTATGCGATGACCTTTTTTTATGCATGTGGAGCTTTGTAAGGAGGTGGAAATTTGATTATTGGTGGAGGGTATACGGTGGAGAAATTGGGACTTTCTTTGTAAACAAAAAATGGTTGGAGGTCGGGGGTTCCGACGAATTAGGGACTTTTATATGGCAATGCTAGGAAAACAGGCATGCAGGTTATTGACAGAGTCAAGTTCTCTAGTAATTGGTGTTTTGATAGAGAGCAGGGAGAGCAGGGGGCTGTGTGGAAAAGGAGGGTCCGAGACCCAAGGGGCTGTCAGTTTAGTGCAGGCGGGAACGGGCCTGATCCCACCTTCGTGGGCTGGTTGCGGGCTGCTTAATTAATATTTATTATTTTTAATTTTCCTGATTTGTTTCCTATTTGGAGTTAATTAGGATTTCTATTATTTGTTTCCTATTAGGAGTTAATTAGGATTTCTATTATTTGTTTCCTATTTGAAGTTGATTAGGATCTCTATTATTTTGTTTCCTAGTTGGAGTTGATTAGGATTTCTAGGATTTTGTTTCCTAGTTTGAGAATTAGTAGATGGGTATTTAAACCCCTTGTTAGGATTCATTCATGATCATCTTGGAATAAAATTGGTTTTAGCCTTTTGACTCTGGGAAACGGTATTTTTATCGTTGATTATCTGGGCAACGGTTTCCCCCATTGATTTTTATTTTTCTGCTCTCAATAATTGGTCCGTCCTGCCAGATCCCGTTCCCGCCGGAATGAAAAAATCTAACATGGAGCTTTTGACAGTGGTGGAGGCCAAATTAGCCTTGTTAAACCAGAAACTCGATGCTCGAGGAGTTCAACTGGCAGAGATCACAGCCTCCTTGGCTGCGCTCACTGCGCTCATGAAAACTTTTATGACGCCGACGGCAGAAGGGCACTCATCAACAACTGCGTCACTGGATTTTGCGTCAGCATCTGCGTGTGAACTTGAGGAGATTGCTGAGTCGGAGAAAGATGCAGCACTAGGAAGTTGTGGGTCACGAAGGCTTGCTTCTTGCTTTCTTGAGTCCATGGCAACCCTAGATTCGCCAGCATGGGGTTATGGACTGAGGTACAAGTATGGACTACACAAGCAACGCATTACGGAAGTTGGACAAGAGGAAGTTAGAGAAGGTTGGCTTGAGAAATTCAGTCCCTGGGAAGTTGCAAGGTATGACACTGTGTTTCCAGTCAGA